ATCGTGGTTGCCAGGAGCTGGGGGTAGAGGCGATAGGGAGTTATCATTTCATGTGTACAGAGTTTCAGTTTGGGAAGATTAAAAAGTTCTGGAGATGGATGGCGGTGCTAATTGCACAACAATGTGAATGTATGCTAGGAAACCAGAATATGCCGCCCCAAAATATGACTGTAGGAGACCCGTATATGCCACACCAAAATATGCCTTTTTGGCATAAGGATTATTTTGAGCTGATTATTTTGAAAAACTGCAGACACAGAAGAAGCTCTGAAAACATAGTAGAAACAACCCTTTTTTAAGGGAAATTTACATCTATAAAGGAAATCTCCATTTGTAAGAGGTCTCAGTACCAGGAAGGGAAGGATGATTCCAAATTATTAGAAAGTTTCATCAGTGGAGAAGGGACAATTTGAGTTTGTGTAACAAACCTTACCCTTGTTACAAAATCTTATACTTGTCCTGGGCATCTCTCCATGACAAGCCTTCCCCAGATGTTCCCTTCTTTGTTTCATGGAACATGGTATTTAAGCTTGATTTTCTAAGCCACCTCTTTGGGATTTACTCATTTCTGTGGGTGTCTCCTGTGTACGCATGGGGTATACATGTTATTAAACTTCTGTTTGTTTTTCTCTTGCTAATCTGTCTTTCATTACAGGAGTCTGTCCCAGCTAAAAACTATGAAGGGTAGAGAGAAAATTAGTTTTTTTCACTTACAGTCCATGATGCTGAGACAGAACAGGGCTAGGCCCGTGAACCACACTGACTCCATTTTCCCTGCAGAGGACACTTTGTTTCTTTTCCGCTCCTCAGTCATGAGATCCCCCGGGGCACATGATTACCCCATGGCTGCCCTGATAAAATAAACTGAGTTAAGAGGAGAACAGATATTCACTGCGTTGCAAAACCCCTCCCCAAGGCTTGTTTATTAGAATTTTGAAAATTAAGTTACAGGTTAACCTTAAGACCCTTTAGGAATTCCTGCATGTGCACAAAGCTTCAAAGTGACTGCTACAATGACCCTCCTGGGCTGATAATAATGTACACCACCGCCATCTTAGACCTACTGAGCAGGTGTAAGGACCAAAGCCTTAGCTGAGCATGTGCCCATGGCACAACCAGGAAGAACAGAATGCACCGCCTCCAGAGGCACAGAATGATGCCGCCTGCATTCCTTTACCCCCTTCCCTATAAAGGACCCTGAACAGCTCCCCTCAGGGGCTAGCTTTCCTGGAGCTATCCTCCTTATGCAGAAGTCTCTCTTCTCTTTTAATAAAGCGTTGCTTGTCCTCGCCTCGGGTCTGGTTGGGTGTGGTTCAGCATCCTTTGTAAGCACATGTGTGTACG